TTGCGAACAATCATAATTGATTTGGTCAAGATCATTAGAATAGTTTGCTTGAAATGTTAATGCATGTATATATAAAACTATTAAATTTGCTTTGTTATAATATTTCTTGATTTTGACGCAAAAGTATTTTTATTTCGATCCTTTTTACAAGTATAATAAAACTCTCACATATCAAAACTCGTAGCATCAATAATGCATTAACCAAATTTTTTTCAATTGAAAAATCTCGTTTTGTCTCAAATGCTCTTTGGCGAAAGCCTGTTTGAAAATTTTCTTTTCAAGCCAACGAGTCTGCACGAGAAAAAGCATAATCAATACTGAGAGAATTCAACATCTAAAAAAAAAATATAACAAATTATTCCCAGTCTATCTTTTGACGTGTAGCACGGCTCATGTTCTGATAATTCAAAATAAGATTCATTCAATGCATTTTGAAACTCGTTCTTAGCTTTGTAAATTGATCCGGCACAGGGACAATGATTTCCTGCGTTTCATGAAATGCCGCAGAAATCACGAATAGATTGTAAACACGGAATACATCAAGGATAGCACGGAATGTTGCGGAGATATCACAAAAAGTAGGGATTTATTGCAGAATCTGATTTTTTATTGTTAAGTATAAATCCTGAAAAGTTCCGGCGTAGAAAATGAAAGAACCTGAAATGCGAGCGTGATCGAGCTAAAATTTTTGTTTGGTATATTGTTACGACCAGGAAGAGACATTCTTATAACTCTACCAATTTAACTCAGGGTCATAAACATTAAAGATAAGAAATCAATTATTTATTATTGCTTACAAGACGATAAAAAAATATAAGCGATACAAGTAAGTATCTTCCTAGCCAGTGTACCCGGTACACTATAATCCTCTAAATACTGTATCCTTTATTCCAACTAAACAAAAGAAGTACTTCCTAAACTCTATCCAAGAATACTAATTACTATTTACAAGAATATCGCTATTTTATATACATTGGATTAGACTCAAATTGACTATATACTATTACGCAAATGTAGTATAACAATATAAGAGTCTAATTAAAGTAATCCATAATTATACTAAACTAAAAGGTTACTCAAAAGGCTTATTTACAAATGTCATGTTATTTTTCGAACAATCGGTAATAATCCGAAGAATATAATCGATGCCCAGAATTTGGATTTTGTCACGGACGGAATCGACAGTTTATCATCGTCCCTAATTCGGCTGATGCGATAGTGTCCTTTAAAATATTATAATGGATTTATATAATTATCTTAAATTTATTAAATTCGAATAAAGTGTTCATATATAAAATATACCAATTTTTGTTTTTTGGAGGATATCGTCGTCGGCTGTCCTTTTTTTGTTTTTGAGTTTCCTGGCCGAAAATTATAGTAGAATCTTTTGAGATTTCTTCGGGTATATTTATGTTTACCCTTTCTTTTTTTAGATTCATCATTTTTTGGTTTAAAGTTTTGTAAAATTTTTTTAAACGAGAGTGTGTGTATTTATGTTTTCCCATATTTATTTCAAAAAAAAAGAGCTACAATCTCTAAATAAATGATTTTGTTTTTTACGTTACACCTGATCTAGCCAATCAAAAATAAATAGTAGATGTGCAGATCACGTGTGTAAAATTTAATATGGTGTCAAATGATCGACGCACCTAATTTTACATGTAAAATAAAAAATTTGCTTTCTGGGTCTATTTAATAATAAAAATTTGTTGACTTAATTTCTGGGTATCATTTGCAAATTCCCTAGCATTCGAAGGTTCTTCTCACGAAATTTCAAGGGTGGTGCATACGTATGTTGTTTAACCAAAATAGGTAATAATAAATATTCAAGTAATTGGATGTTTATCATCAGCATATTGCCATAAAAATTCCTGATTTAGTATAATGTAACATGATCAGGAAAATTCAAAACAAACAGCTTTTTTTGTCAAAAATCGCTTATTTCTCAAGAATTTATATAAGAAACTGCCTTTTGTGCACTAACAAAAAGTTTTTTTTTACGCGATTTTACTATATAATTGCCTAAAGTCTAACACTAATTTGGGCACTAACCCTAACTTAAAGAATTTTTTCGTTGGTCACATGCGTGAAATTTTTTATGGTGATACTGGGACAGTCATCAAAAGTATAGATACTGGTGAAACTGGTGAAGTTCATGGTGAATGGTGGTGAAACTAGTAAAACTGGTGAAATTTAATATAATAGCCAATCAGATTTTAGATAGTCACCAGTTTCACCAGCATTATTTAGTTTTACCAGCATCTATAGTCTAAAGCCATGTACTCACGTGATGTTTCTTGTGTAAATCAACCAATCGGAATCACGAATTTTGAAGTTAAAAAATAAAAAAAAACACAAAATAATAAAAAATAGTAGTCTAAACCCATCTTGAAGTATTAACAAAAAATATCAGAAAGGCAATTTTATTTATATATTTACCTTTATACAAACACTCAAATAGACCCAATTCTAATTTTAATTAAAATCTCAAAAGCACGTGAGTATATTACATGTGTACATTGCTTTAGCTATCTTACTATCTTGATTAAACAACATATATCACTTATAAACAAATAGCAAAAATATAAAAAAAATAGGCTAATCTTACAATCAAGATTATTTTTTATTTTATTTTAAATCACTCTTAAAATTTTATGAAAAGAATCTTAAATGCTAGGAAATTTGCAATTAATACCTAGAAATTAAACTAACAAATTTTTATTATTAAATAACTATTTGACTCTATATTAAAATTGATTTGCATTACATGTTATATAGCTGATAATATAAAAATCTAAAGTCCTGTTTTAAACTAATCACAATGCAGAATTAGCTATAATATAAAAACAAAATAAATAGCTAGTTTTTTAAAAAATCACTGTAGCTCAAAATTTGGCTTATAAATTTATTTTTTGTATTTTAACTAAAAAAATTTATATATGTTGTACCCCAAATAATAATTCTGTCTTGATTGCCAATTGGGACAGCCCAAATTAAAATTGCCCAAATCTAACCTTAACGTCTGGGCTAATTAATTTATAATTTTGGCCAGATTGTCATCTGGGAAAATTGTCATTTGGGGCACGACATATATATTAAAATTAGTAAGATTTTATACAAGGTGGACAATCTTGTATATTAGTATAATTGATATGCATATAAAATAGTAATAAAGTATATTTTAGTCAATACATCTTACATATTTATGTGATATAAGAATTGTATCTCAAAAAAAGTAAATTAACAGTTTTTTAATATTTTTATCATATAAATGTAACAGTAATAGCTTTTAATAAATTAGTAATATTTAAAAATTGTGTTTTAATATAATATAAGCTCCCAAAATAAATCAATAATGCAAATTTTATTAATAAAGCACTAGCAAGCCAACCAAGTAAATTTACTTAGATTTTTTTTATTATATAGATTGTTATATTAGGGCTTAGTTTAAATATTCAAATTATATAAAATTGCAAATTTTAATATACATAAATTAGTACATAAATATAATAATAATTATATATATATTGTTTATGTATTCTATTTATATTTTTTTAGCCTTTAATACATTATACCAAAAATGTAAAGCTAGAGTTATAAGAAATAAATACTTAGTAGCTTAATATAACTAATTAAAGATTCTAATTTATAGCAATACACAACTATAGCCTTATAACTACTGCATTATAATTATATTATTTATTTGTAATAACTGTTGTTTTCTTAGCATAACTATTGTAATGTAATATTGTTAGACCCTTGATTAACAAGTCATACTACTTGACTAAGTGTTCGAGTAGTTAAGAAATATGTTTGTATAATTTTATAACAGAAAATAACTTTTAAATAAAACAAATTATTGTCAACTTATTGCCAATGTGACCTCAATAAAGAAAGGTTATAATCAACAGATTTTATACTAAAGATAGATTTTATTAACTCAGATAATGCTCAAAAGAATAACACAGATAAAACAATAATA